TTTGAGACATAGCACTTAGCTGTTTTCCATGCATATATAGTACAACAGTTTGATTTTGTGTCATTTTTATTCCTAATGAGAAAGATGGATGGTATTAATGCAATGTCCTATCAAAGTTTAATTATATTGCCTTAAATTATCAATGCTTTAGATTGAGTAGTAACAATAGTACCAGACATGCCTATAAAGTCCTACACTGTCTACCAATATTTTGTCCAGGACTGACAAGCCAAGAACTACCAAGAATGGTCTCTTTTAGTTTATTTAGATGTTGGAAACTTATTTTCATTTATTTCAGGTCCGTTTGTCATGATTTTGAAAACTTCCTGAAAACCCAGCACCAATGACCCAGGAACGCTCTTTTGAATTATTTAGATTTGTAGATACAGAATATTTTCCTTTTCACAGCTGTTGCTGAATAACCTTCTGACCTGCTCCTCCCCTTCTGTCCCCTGTGAGAGATGTGCCTGCAGTATTCATCTGAACACAGGCTCAGTAAAGCACAAGGTAAAGCTCAAGTAAATACACAAAGTTCTGTGGAAGCCCATGAAAAACTGGACTGGGGGGCTGTGAATGAAGTTATTATTTATATTCTCTCAGACCCCTGCTGTCCTCTAAAGACTGTTAATGTATTAGCAATGTGCTCATGACGTTGCTCCCCGCTGCAGTCCTGCATCCATCTCTAGGGAGAACACGGGAGGGATGTGGAGCTGCTGGAGTGAGTCCAGAGGAGGCCACAAAGATGCTCCAGAGGCTGTGAGAGCTGGGCTTGTTCAGCCTGGAGAAGAGAAGGCTCCACAGAGACCTTAAAGCAGCTTTCAGCGCCCAAAGAGGCTGACAAGAAACCTGGGGAGGGGCTTCTGACAAGGGCCTGTAGGGACAGGACAAGGGGGAATGGCTTTAACCTGACAGAGGGGAGATTGAGATGAGACATTAGGAAGAAATTCTTCCCTGTGAGGGTGCTGAGGCCCTGGCACAGGGTGCCCAGAGAAGCTGTGGCTGCCCCATCCCTGGCAGTGTTCAAGGCCAGATTGGACACAGGGGCTTGGAGCAACCTGCTCCAGTGGAAGATGTCCCTGCCTGTGGCAGGGGGCTGAAACTGGATCATCTTTAAGGTCCCTTCCAATCCAAACCAGTCTGGGATTGATGAAGTTAGTTACGTTTAACTGAACTTCTTATACTAAGTAAGCAAGCAGTGAACCAAGTGAAGTACAGATGAGGTTTGAAGTGGCTAGCATCTGTCCATTGGCCAGGGAAATAAGCTTGCTTTCATTTGCTTTCTAGACATGTCATTTTTCTTTAACGCAGGCACTCTCATGTTCAGTATCTTGATCATGGGTTAGATCATCAATTTGTAGGCATTTACTGAAATATTCCTAAGTAGTTCCCAATTATCATTCCTATTTTTCTGCCCCAATTCAGTCACGTACAGCTGATAACAGTTTCAGCTTTGAGAGCCTGGCAAGTGCTGAACATGATTTGTCTCTGAGGTACCAGCCATTTGGCAACAAGATATGCCATTTTTAGTGCAATCTGACTCTTCCTCTCCAATTTTCCTCGCTCGATACTTCCTGATCTTCACTTTTACTCCAATAATAAAAACCTCCCCCTCAGGTGTCATTAACAGTAACTCTATCAAACTAATGTCTACAAATAAGCAATCATTCTCTATTTTGCCACCCATGATGATAGCTTGTTCAACTTCTTTTATCAGTTTTGTAAGTGCATGGGTATGTTCTGGATTTGTACTTCTTGGGCTGTACCATCCACTTCCCACCTTCTGCTGTTGTTTAATAACTTTCTAATGCCCTTCTGGCTTTGTTTGCAGAATGACTGCAGTAATGAACCAGCCTCCTTATCAGTTTGGTCAGCTATCCATCACCCTTGTTTGGAAGGTGGTTAGCATTCAACGACTAATCACCATTCTCTGAGGGCTTCAGCTGCTAATAACAAGCCCCATTACTCACAAGAAAACCTGAAGGGTGGTGGAATAAGATTTTCAGAATGAAGCAATGTAACTTTTATTCAGCAAACTCTATTAGGTGATTTGGTTTCAAAATAGCCATTGGGATCCTGGAGATTCAGCACCTATTGATCATTCTTCCACCGATACCAGGCATGCCATTAGTCAGGTGGTGAATATTATCATGGGGATATATTTCTACAACCATATGGCATTCAGTATCTTAGCAAAAAACCCATCATTTCATTGTGATGGATTAGTGGAACTACATGATCTTAAGGTCCTTTCCAGCCCTCACCATTCTATGATTATGATGCACTGTCAGTACTGTCACACAAACAATCACAGAAGTATTTTACATAGAGTAATGCTTATGTGGACAATCAAAGAAGGAGGATTCACTGCTCTGACTGACAATGAGACTTACTCACAGATGTCTTTCCAACAGTTACTTCAGATGAGTTGGGGGAAACTCCCTGAACTTTCAGCTGATTTAAAGTCTCTTGCAGCTAACCAGAAATGTCTTCAGAATCAAAAATTTCAATGTTTATGATGATCTCAAAATTCAAGTTCTCAGATGAAGTAAGATCCTAAGCAGCTCAAAAGGTGTACGGGTCATTCATACAGAGCAAAAAGTGAATACTAACATTTAAAGGAAACACATTTTAATCATATATTGCTGATTACAGCAAATTTCAAGAAGCATTTAGTTCCTTTCCTTTACACATCTCTAGCAATGTATATGGCTATTGTTACATACAAATCTAGCAATTTAATGAGACAAAGAAGTCGCCTATGATTCCACACGACATCAGGTATTATCACATGTTCTTCAGCCAAAGTTGCCGAAGTGGCACTGTATGCATCTGTAATGCCATTACAAACCACTGTAGAAACACCTGAGCCGAACTGGAGAGTGGAAGCAGGCTCAGAGAGCACTTCAACTAACAAACCCAACTTCCCCAACAGCTCTCTACGCTGTACAAGAATCATGAAAACAGCCCTAGTGTGAACGTATTCCAAGTACATCTAAGATACTACAATTAAATGATAAAACTGCATGATGTGGAGACCTCATAGCAGCCTTCCAGTATCTGAAGGGGGCCTATAGGGATGCTAGGGATGGACTCTTCATTAGGGACTGCAGTGATAGGACAAGGGGTAATGGGTTCAAACTTAAACAGGGGAAGTTTAGATTGGATATAAGGAGGAAATTCTTTCCTGTTAGGGTGGTGAGGCACTGGAATGGGTTGTCCAGGGAGGTTGTGAATGCTTCATCCCTGGCAGTGTTCAAGGCCAGGTTGGATGAGGCCTTGGGCAATATGGTTTAGGGTGAGGTGTCCCTGTCCATGGCGGGGTGTTGGAGCTTGATGATCTTGAGGTTCTTTCCAACCCTAATTATTCTATGATTCTATGTTCACAGAAAAAATACCTCTCTGCTTTGCTTATTTGACCAACTATTCCTAACAATGTAGACTGAAGGCTGCTACTGACAAGCATCTGAAAAATGCTAAATGTTGTGGCTTTGTTTTGAAGCAAAATTAAACCCTTTTCTCTTTGAATGTTCTGGCTGGTTCAGTACACACTGTCCTTGTTTCAAAATGAGGACACTTAACTGCAGACACACAAAGCAATTATCAACATTAAAAATGATGTACTGCAGAAACACTCATGTAAAATATTGTAACATCACAGTAAGGGAGCCTCAGATTTACATCTAGCTTTAGGTGGCTGGTAGGCAGGGAGGAGACCACAGCTATGTATTAAATTACTACTGAAGATCAGTATATTTGACAGGAAACTTTAGGGAAGTCTGGAGGGAAAAGCTGAACACAACCACTGTAAAGTCTGAGCCACTAAGGAACGACCAAGTTCTGGAACAGCCCCACCAACATGGGGATCTGCGCTTGCTTAGCCACCTAAATCTCTTCCTGTGTACAATGACCTCTGGGGAACCTTCTGAGGCTCCAGAGTACAAGAGAAGAACTGAGAGAAGATCTCACCCTGGCTGTGTTGTTCTGACAGCTTTCTGAAAGTGGACTTAATGCCAAAGTCAAATGAGGTGTATTCCTCACCAGGAATAACAGCAGAAATGATGTACACAATAGACCTTAACACTGAAAAAGAAAGAATTATTCAATATCCAAACGTTCATTTCACTCTCAGTAAGCAATAAATCCAGCTGACCTCATGTTGGAGGTGGGTATAACTGAAGCTACACAGGGGTATTAAAATCGTGCTCTCCCTGCATGCTGGACTGAATGGAGGTGGATCAATCTGATTTATTACACCTGCAGTGGAAAACAGACTGATGTAATTTGAATCCAACATGCTGCTGCTTCTTGAAGAACTGTCTCTCCTCTCCAGGCACATGTCCAGTCCCTATTAGGCTTATGAACTCTTCCGCCACCATTTGTGAATTGGTATCTTTCCACTTGTCTTCCCACTGTTCCTTATGCCATCTTCCCTCTAAACTATGTATTGTCCTCAGCAGCAATATAATCGAAAGGTCACATGCTAACATGACAACATATCATTGTCCTGTTTCCTTACAGTCTCTCACGTAGCTGCATATGCTCACCTGTAGCCTCTAGCCTGTACTGAGCAGAAAGTTCTCTAAAGCAAGATGTTAGGTTGTGTTTCTGTAGCCCCAAACACAATCAGAACTCATCAGAGCTCTCAGAACTCATCAGAGATGAAGGCTGTGGTCCAATACCAGGTAACTGGTACAGTAATACAAATAAACGATAACAGCAACATCACCACAGTAAGAGGTCATGAAGTCTATTCTTTGCTAGTTGCTTTTGCCAACATCTGGGTGATAAAACACCAGCAGAGATTAGCGCTAGGTCCAGTATGAAAGTGGAAGATCTATCATTTCTGCTGTAAGGGACACTGGGACTGCAAATGCATTGTGTGCTTAAAAATATCTGACAGTTCACCAAATTCAGGTGAATAAAAGTGAAGCAATAACTCTACTGTGCCTTGTTGTGACCTCCTCTCTTTACAAGCCTGCAAACTTTATATTAGTCTGATATGATCTATGTCTTTATTACTTACATTGTGGCAGCACATTCTTGTACGTGGATGAGGACCCCAAAGCCTGAGGGCTCTTCCGACACAAAACCAGACGGGGGGTAGCTTCTCAGCTACGCCTGGGTCTATCCTGAGCAGCATTACAAGCCATGTCTTCAAAACTGACTCTGAAAAATAGTCTGTCAAAAAATAAAAGGAAAGAATTTCTGTACTAAGTGCAGATCGTTTTGCATACCATCTGCAGAGTGCTAATTATACACACCATCGTTATTTGTCAGTGTAAGATATTTCAGAGTGATATCTGTAAGCCATCTGCCAGCTCTTACTCACATTCTTCAGATCATCAGCAAGAAACCTTACAGAATTTCTCCTTAGGTAAGAAACTGCACTATGCAAGAGCAGTTAAACAGGAATGACTTTCTAAAAACGGCTCCTTAACAGATAACTGCAGTCAAATGAAATCCAAATGAATTCTTTTGAATTGTTTAAGAATGTCACGGCTTTGATATTGCATTCAGGTATTAGATCGGTGTCTCGCCACCCTCACAGTAAATCAGCATGAATCAAATCATTGAGGTAGGCTCTGTCCCTGTGCATAGCATCTTTCCCAACAAATATATACAGCAAGAGAATCCACACAAAAAAAACATTCATGAAAGCAGAACCAGCTCAGGGAAAAAAAACAATTAAAAATGAAAAACAGGAAAAAAGAAAAAGAAAGGGAAAAAAAAGAAAATACTACAAAAAAAAAAAAACAAACACGACACAAACCACCCACCCTTCAACAACACAACCAAATGGGATACTTTCTACTCCCTTCTTAAGAACAGGAGCTTCTACCTTCATCACCCTCACTCCATCTGATGGAGTTCTTCTACTGTCAGTACAGTGAGTTTATGTTTTCACTGCCAGAAAAAATCTGGCTATTTGACAGCAAGGCAACTAACCTGATTTAGCTAGAACATATTGTAAGAGAACCATCTGTATATATATCATCTTAACGTAGCTGGCTGAGGTCAACAGTAGTTGAGAAGACATATTACTATCACCTAGATATGTCTATGAGGATGACGAGGCTCTGGCACAGGGTGCCCAGAGAAGCTGTGGCTGCCCCATCCCTGGCAGTGTTCAAGGCCAGGTTGGACGGGGCTTGGAGCAACCTGCTCTAGTGGAAGATGTCCCTGCGTGTGGCAGGGGGCTGAAACTGGATGAGCTTTAAGGTCCCTTCCAACCCAAACCAGTTTGGGATTCTATGATTCTATTACTTTTTTCACTCACTGTCTACAAATGACTGACTGCTGTTCATTCATTCAGTACTGGGACTGTGCTTTTGTTCCTTTCCCAAGGCAAGATGGCATTATCAATCCTTGCCAATTGTTTAATTGATTTCCTCTAGGTAATCAAACTCTACTGTGGCTTTGGTGCTTCATTACCTGTATCATACACTACAGTTTTCTTACATCTTACCTTATTCTCTTATTTTATGGCTTAACTGTTATAAAGTATTCCTATAATTTATCCATTTATAATCTGACAATCCTCAGGATCTCCCACAGAAATCTATCCCCTGCATCATGGTGTTGGACTTGATGATCTTGAAGGTCTTTTCCAACCTAGCTGATTCTATGGCTCACAGAGGCTTAGTCATGCTGATGTGAGACCATGTGCTTATCCTAAAGAAGCTTTACCATCAAGATCACAAGACATCTCACTGGTTCTTTGGCCTCCAGCACATCAGGGTCAAAAGATCATTCTTCCAACTTCTATCTGTAATCAGTATGAACCTGGACTTTGAGGCTAAGGTCTCTCAGAACAACCACCTCAAGCAAAGCTCAGCTTTCAGGCATGTAACAAGTTAACTGAATTGGTGCTCTACAGCACAACCTAACACCACTGAAACATCTGCCAAGGAGTTTCGCAAGAAGTAATTTCCTCTTAGAAGAGCTGAACCTTAAAGAAAATCACAGTGCTTTAATTTGTGTCAATATCTGACCTTTTCAAGTGCAGGTGCTCTGGTTGTGCTCACCCTCCAAAACAATGCCATTGTTTTGGAGGACAGAAAGAAGAAAATTAGAAAGTGAAACCCATAAAAATAAGCACTCTCCAGGAAAAAAAAAACAACAAAAGAAGAAAAATGAAACACAAACACTTAGAAATAAACAGCATCAATCAGTAATATAATCAATATGTAAAACCTGTGTCTATTTGGTATAAAGTTTTTAAGCTTCTTCGTGCTGTTACTGTTCTTGCTGACAAAAAAGTGCGGATCATTTCATTCCTTTTCCACTCCATGGTAACTCAGCATCACAGAGCTCTTCCCCCAAAACAAAGGAGTTTTGTGTGGATGCATCCACCATCTTTCATGCATGCAAATAGCTAACAGATGTCTATTTATACTTGGGATTAGAGTTCTGCATAGTAAAACAGCAGCTCAATGTGTACCCTCCGTATGTAGGTTATATCCTTTAGGAATTGGGCCTAATGTTCTTTCCATAGAAAAAAAGAAAGCTTTAAAGATGCAATAAGATGATAAATGAGCTTACTTTGAAAGACATCAATAATGATATATTGAACCAGTGCCACAACTGCCATTATAGGAAACATCAGAATCTCAAAGTTTGGGGGGTCTGGCTGGTTTGTTGGTTAGATTTCTCTGGTCTTTTTGTTTTGCCTACACTAGTTTCTCTATGGCAACTCTGGCAATTTCTGGCACTCCAGAGAGGCTACAGGAAGCATGATCATCTTCCATCAGCAACTTCAAAACTGGAAGGCAGCAAAAAAACAGCCAACAAGAACACGTAAAAGCAAAGCTCAAGGCCAAGACCTGAATTTCAACCTGTGCTCTTGAGCACTCTGTGTGCCTTGAAGTCCTAGATCACACTGATCAGCTGTCTTGCTGCAGGGCCTTCAAAGCACTCTGTATATTCTGCTACATGAAAGGAAGGTTTTCAGTATTACTCTCAGTTTGAGCACGAGGAGTATCTTATACATGCCTTATATTGGCAATCAAACTGAGGTGAAAAATGGCTGTAGCACAGATGTGCTTGAGAGCAACCATAGCTAAATAAATGAAAGGGAAACCAGTGTGGCAGTGAATCATGTATAACAAAAGAAACTTATCTGCTTGTCAATCTGCAAGACAGCTGCTTGTCCAGATATATCAGCCTTCTTGCTCCCTGTTCATTACAGGGGACTGGCAGCACACTATTTATTTTGTATCGGGTCCAAAGAAGGGCAACGGAGCCAGTGAAGGACCTGGAGCACAAGTGTGATGAGGAATGGCTAAGGGAACTGGGGAGGTTTAATCTGGAGAAGAAAAGGCTCAGTGGGGACCTTACTGCTCTCTACAACTGCCTAAAAGGAGGATGGAGCCTGGAGGGGGCTGGGCTCTGCTCCCAACGAACAAGAGATGGGACAAGAGGAAACGGACTCAAGCTGTGCCAGGGGAGATTTAGACTGGAAATCAGGAACAATGTCTTCCCCAAAGGGCAGTCAGGCATTGGAACAGGCTGCACAGGGCAGTGCTGGAGTCATGGGCCGTGGAAGTGTTCACAAACCACGTAGAAGAGGCCCTCAGTGCCATGGGTTAGTGGTGGCCTTGGCAGTGCTGGGAATGGTTGGACCTGATCTTAAAGGTCTTTTCCAACTCATCTAATTCTGTGATTCTAATTTTTTTTGTAGCAGAGCCCATACACATGGGCAGTTTCAAAATAGCCTCAAAATGATGACTCCTCCCAACAGAGAAATTAACTGTGGACAGACTGACCACTGCTGAAAGCTGGGAGAAGCAAATTAACTAAAGGAGTGCCATGTTAGTCAATTGGACTGCTCAGCACACAAGGATATATAAAGATTTTCTACAAGAAAAGTCTATTTGAAATCTGTTAATTTGTGATTTGCCTGTTTGTAACTTTTCAGTAGCTGAATCAGGGTAATTCATCAATCAATACATTGAGAGTCCTGGTCCTCATCCCAGGCTTACCAATTTCAAGAGCAAAATTCCCATTTAGTTTCTCTGAATCCTTGTTTTCACTGTGACAGTGAGGACCTCCAGGACTATCACATATTTTGCAAACCTCAGCCTTTGGTAAATAAGTATTAACAAATACTCTCGCAGTTCCCCGACAATTTGTGATGATCTGCATTAAGAGAAATAAATAATTCAGCTTACATTACTCCCAGTGCAAACCACTTTATGAACCCTGGTAAAGGTACATGGAGAGCATGTGATCAGACATAACAGGTAAAACCTGGGCTATGGTAAACTGACCTCTCCGACTCTAAAACAATGTTGCACTACTGAACCTGAGAAGTAATTTACTGGCATCCACCCTTCTCATAAGCCTCTGCTTATGTAGCTAAGGTCAACTTTAGAACAGTGCTGGAGAGGAGAAGAGAGAAGAGAGAGAAAGGCAAAGACTGGAGAAGAGAGAAGAGATGCTGTCTCAGGCTTATGTGACTTCATCAGCTTCTCTGGCTCCCTCCATCAGAGCCTGACAGCTTGACATCTCCCAGTGGCTTGATGGCTGAAGAGCACAATTCTTGCTCTTCCCCCTGGACCCCTCCATGAACCAAAGTGAGCTTATGAGATAAAACTGACAAGTTCAAAGGACCCAGATTGGAGTTTGAACAGTGTTTTCAGCAGCAGTAATGTTCTTTAGTTTTTACTAAGGGCTTTCACAGACCATAAGGAAGGGTGCAGCATGTCTTGGTTAATAATTTTCCTCTATTCCTATTCCCAGACCACAGTACGACAGGGATCTCAGTGGTTTTGTTGGAAACTGAGATCATATCCTTCTTTGTACAGATGCATCTTAGTTGCTACCTAAAGTCCCCAGGCATCAGTCATCTAAGGGCTTGGTCATGGAGGAGGCAATGCTGCCCATATCCCCACTGTCATGGGGGGAGTCAACCCCAGTGAGGTTTCTGTGAATCACAGCTGAAGAATGAGGACCAACAGAAGTGCTTCTCCCAGATTAGGCAGTAAAATTTAATGCTAGTGCTATTTACAAAGTGATCACCTGGATCTCCATAACCTGTGATCTTCTCCCCTGGTCTAAATACAAGTAAAATTATAAAAGAAATATGTCCACAACTATTTATTGGATATTTAAGTCCTTTTTCAGCCCTTCTTGAACCCTTTTGGGCTGGATCTCTAACAATGTTTGAATCACCTTCT